TAAAATATTTATTATCATCTTTTAATAATAAAATTAATAATAAATTATATAAAAATTCAGAAAGTAATAAAATATTATGAAATGAAATTTTCTATAATATATATTGAATTATAATGAAAATGATTAAATTTGAAGTAATTCAAAAATAATAAACCTAAAACAAAATATATTAAAATACTAGCTGTTGAATTTCGAAAGTTTACATTATCATTAAAAAATTTAGTATTGAACTTTGAAGGTTTTTGATAATGAAATAATATGTATCAAAATTTAATTTTGATTTTAAAGGGTTGTGACACAATCAATAACTTTCGAAATCTAACATTGTGATATAATTTTGAAATTTTCGAATTAATATAATTACTGATATACATCTATTGGATATCTGATAAGTATAAGAGTAATGTATATATTTATACACTTATCAGATATCCAATAGGTGTAAAAAATATTTTATTATACTTATCAGGTATCTTATATATCTATCAGATATTCAATAAGTATATGAATATGTACATTATTCTTATATTTATCAGGTACCTAATAAATGTAGTATTTATAAATTTTTAACCAGTATTATTGAATTTCTTTAAAAGTAAATCTTGATCAACAATGTCATTTTCTAATTAATTAATAAATTTTTTGTTTTATTTATATTTTCTATATTTCAGTTTAACATTTTCCATTTGTACAAATGTCTAGATATACAGTATTTTTTAATAAATTATCATATTGGTTTCTTGATAAAAGTAAAATTCCAGCAATCAACTATATTAATTAGCACTAGTTTTTGGATATTAGATAAGCATAGAATATTCTTCTGCTCTTTTTTATTAGTATATTTGTAGTTTTATTGAACTCGATTTCTGAATACACTTTAACTTTGACCAATTGAAAATTTATTTTCTATATTATCACTATTTTATAAATTACAACAATAAGTATTCAATTATTAAACTTTTTTCATATTCCTATAACATTGCTTGCTACTACTTTCATTACATTGATTGTAGCCTAATTATCCATATATATATTAACTTTTGATTCTTTTGACACTATGTAAATTGCAATTAGAATTGTCATAAATTCTGCTCTAGTAGATGATACAAAGTTTTTCACTTTATCATTAAATATATATCTTTTATCATTGTTTTCTCTTACTATTACCTATCCACAACCTATAATCAATGTTATTTTTGTTATATCTCCATTATTAGTTTCTTCCTTAAACATAGATCCATCCATATATATTAAAATTATATTTTCCTCATTAAAAGTCATACAGATGTCATCTAATTTTATTTTAATTTCATTATTGTATCAAGAGTTAATGTATTTTTCAACCATTGATTTTCTGTTTTTCAAAAAATTATTTGTATTAGAGTTTGTTTTTTTCACCTTTTGTCCTGGATGAATTGAATATATACCACTTATAATGGTATTTAAATTCTCATTAATTGCTGCCATTTCTGATTGTAGATATAATTTGTTACTTTTGTCTAATGTTACTTTTAATCATACCCTACTTTTAACTGACTGGAGTAGACCCATTTTAAATAAATTGTTATAATTATATATAAAAATAATAATTATAATTATATACAAAATCGTCAATTGTCACTACATATAAAACATTTTATATTCTTAGTGAATGTCAAAAATGGTACAAAGTAACTTCAAAGATAAGAATGAATTACGTATTATATTTAAAGAACAGATATTTAACTTAAAAATTGAGCAAACAATTATTATATAAAAATTTTTTGCCCATTCAAAATTCAATGACTAATAATTTCCTCAATTTTGATAATATAGGTCTGTTAATATGCAAATAATTCTTATCTTAAAGGTTACTTAGTACCATATTTGACATTAAAATAAAATGTTTTATATGGATATAATTAGTAGATTTAAGTAGATCATGTATGCGTAACAGGAATTCACCCAGGTGAGCCACCAGGTAATTTACCCGTTGTGTGTATGATTGTGAAACTCCTTGGATATAATGTAATCTGTAATTGTAAAATAATGATTTCCCGTTTTTACACATTTTTATTTATCATCGATTTTGAATTTATTGTATAAAAATTTTTTACCAAAAATAAAATATACATATAATTAATTGTTTATACAAATAGAAATGAAACATTCATTTATTCTTATATTTCATATTCTAATAAAGTAAAAAAAAAAAAATACATAACATGACATAAAATGTAACATTAAACATTATTCTCACCTGAAATGTTTCTTGAAAGATTTAATATTTAATATTCAATATTTGGTTTGTCAAGCTGTTTATTGTTCCATTGGATAATGAATAAATTTCATTGTTTCATCATCATCTAAATTTTCTTGTCCACTTTCTAATCGATGAACAACTTTTCCTGGTATAGGTAATTTAGTTCCAATAATGTAAATCATTTCTCGAAGTGCATCAATTTTAAATCTGTCTTCACAATCTTCTATAATCTTTTATATATATATATATATTCATATTAGTAAATACATATACAATAAGATTATAAATTATTGTTATTTACCAATTCTAAATCAACGAGATTCTGAGGTCTCAAATTAATAATCTGTAATTTTTCCGATTTCGTGAGATTGTATTTTTTAAGGTTATTTAGAATTGATTCAATTTGTTCGGGTGTTTGAGTTGATGCAGGGGATTGAGTTGAAGATAAGTTCTGGATTACCTAAAAAATAATCAAATCATTTGAGCGAATAAAAAAATGGCACCAAAAAAAAAATAGCTTTCCATTAATAAATTTACCTCAAATTGAATTGTCTTCAAGTTCTCTGGAAATTTCATATTTGGCTTCGTTTTAACTTGTTCTTTTTGCTTCTCATCCATTTCGCGTAAAATAGCCAAAATCTCATAATTCGAAAGCATGGCATTTCTTTTATCTATAATCTTTTTTAATACAGAAAATAAAATTTTAAGAAAATTTTAAAAAACTCGAATAAAAAAAACAAATTTTACAACATACCAGCATTTCTTGATGTTTGAAAAAAAGCACAGTTAAAAATCATATTTATAATAGTCATTCGTTACACAGGAATTTATCATAAGGTCCATAATTTCATGTGTCACTTTCTTTACTCAAAGTGAAAAGGGGAATCCAGGATTATACAATTATACAATTATACATGAATGCAGTATTGAAAATATAACATTACAGTATTACAGCACAACATACTGATATAATAATAAATATTTCTGTATATTTTGATATAAAATATACCGTGAATATGTATATTGAAATATTTAAAGCAAATATCAAAATACTTGGAAGGTGATCATTGAATAAAATATTTGAAAAATCAAAATAGGAATAAAAAATAATACAAGAAATTTATTAAAATAGATTTTTATTTTTTTTTTTTTTTTTCGCCAAAATATTAAATATTATCATTTGATTCAAACAACCACAAGATTAATTTTTTATTGATCTTTGTGTTGTTGTTGAACATTATAATTTTTGATGTAGCATTTGTGATTATTCAAATTATTATGGTGGAAGCATCAACGCGGGTGAAATCTTATCACGCATTTCTTTACCCATTAATTCCTCAACAATTTTCAAGGCAAAAAAGAACGAGGTTCCAGGACCACGGCTAAATATATACATAATGGTTGGCATTAATGAAATTAACATATCAAATTATATAAATGTAAAAAGAAATGATACCTTGTAATAACTTTATTGTCAACTACAACGCGATCCTCTTGATAATTATAATCTTGATGTTTGGAAAGAAATGAATTAGTACGAATTTTGAAATAAAAAATAAACAAACAAAAAATAAACAAAAAATATAGATAACCGCGTTCTAAATCCTTCTTCACAACCGGGTGGGATGTAATCTTTCCCCCTAAGTTAATGTTGGCAGCCTTTATTGCCAAAGGTCCTACCGTTCAGATTGAAAGTGCGTAAGTCATTTCATTATTATGACTCTTTGAGAGATTTTAATGAGATTATCTATCTACCAGCACATATTGCAGCAACAAATTTTCCAGATTTATGAGCAAGAGACAATAAACGTTGAATATCTGAATGTGATGAAAGAGTTTTTGCTCCTTCCATACCACCAGGGATAACAATAACATCGTATGATAAGGCATCCTTCAATAAGACATTAAAAACATTTTTAATACTTTTTATTATAAATGATACCCCTGACCAAATTTATATTAAATATTATTATTAAAATACTAACAAATTTTGAAAAATCCGAGGGTTGAATATCAGGCACAATTTTTACCCCTCGATTGCATGTTGCATATTGCTTATCTCCTAGTGAAACTCCAGCGACGCATACCTCAATTTCACCACGTCGCAAAACATCGACTTAAATTGTTTATATTTTTATATTTTTATATTTTTAATATATTTTGTTATGAACTTATATCTTGAATAAAATTTTAATTTAAAGGAATAAGTCCTACTTGAAATCACTGCCTCCATTTCTTCCGTGCCATTTGCCACGAATACAAGAGCCTTTTTCTTTTCTTGAGTCATTCTCTTTTGCAAATTATAATCAGTATTACATGTATTTTCATGTATTTTTTCTCAGGTTATCACGTGATGTGACTTCGTATTTCGTCATCATTTACCATTTCTTTGTGATACGTAATGATACTTCTCAGCTTACTTCCTGGAAAGCGACCCGCACATTTCATGTATAATGATTTTAACATATTTTTTTTTTAAAAAAAAATTAAAAGGATAGAATATTTTTGGCATTATAAATATTCAATGCTAAAAAAAAATTAGATCAATATTTTACACGTGATAGTGTCAAATTATATAAGAAAAAACAAATTATTTTTGCGAATTTAATTTAATTTAATTTTTTGATTTATTTTAATTATAAATCTTATGATTTCTAACTTTTTTGTTTTTTTTGATTCGTAAGATTTCTTTTCTTCTTTTCTAAATTTTGTACTTTTTCTTTTTTTTGGTTTTTTCCGTATTGTATCTTTGCATACAATTTTTTCTGTTTCTTTGACATCATAACCATTCCCAGCTCTTTTCTTTCTCCCTCTTCAATCTCTTTAACACTACGTTTCTTACTGGTATTTGTTGAAGAATCAGCATTATTATGATTCTTTGTTTTCTTATTTTTATTTTTATTTTTGTCCACCTGTACTTGATATTCAGAAAATGAAATACCACGAGCTTCAGCTTCAAGTTCTTTCTGATGAATCAATTCTTCTTCATCAGTCTATAATAATAATATCAATTATCAATTGATGACAATTAATAAATTGTTTAATATTTGTAAAAATTTAATAATTTAACGTTACCTCATTATTTATATCATTAACATCACTAGTGTCCTCATCTTCATCAAAGACTTTCTCACCCTCACTCGTGTCTTTATCATCTTCATCCACGTCTTCATCTTCATCTTCATCCATGTCATTCTCATCTTCATCTTCACCTTCATCCATATCATCCTCATCTTCACAACTACTTTCGTTTTTTATATCAATTTTAATTTTTTGCTCTACATTTTCTTCATTTTCTTCATTTCCTTCATTTCTTTCTAATTCAGCATCATTTACGGGTATATAATCACCATCCTCATATTCTACAAATGGTGATAGATGAGGAGGCAAAGCTTTACCGGGTTGATAGGGTTTTGTATTTAATAAGTTCTTTGCGTTAATGCAGTCATAAACCCATTGCGGTTGAATGTAAACACGTGTAGGTATTAATTCTTTAGTAATTGGACGATCTATGATGTGATGAGTGATCCGTTCATCATCCTCTTTGAAAGGAGATCCTATCTCAACCGTATCGTCCCAACCGACCAACCCGCCAAATGATCGAATAACAAATTCCAATGAATACTTGGGAACCTCTCGGGATAAATAGAATATGCATTTAGAAAAAAGTTTCTCAAATTTGGATATAGCATCTGACATTAATTGAATGTCCCGATAAGTATATGTTTGTGTTTGTGATGAAACTTCTTGTTCCTGTAATGTATTCTGATTGGAAGTTTGTTCTGTGAAATCATCTATTATGCTTTCATTTACATCAATTGTATCAATTGTAGAATTATACGATTGATCTTCCGTCTCTGTAATTTCTTTATCCTTTATTTTAGCAAGTTTTTCGGGTAATGTTTCTAAACGTTTTTCTGATTCCAATTTCTGGGCCTTTGATTAAATAAAATTATTATAAATGTTTTAATTTGATTAATATGATTATCAATTCATTTCAAATAAATTAAACAATTTACTTTTTCTTCTTCGTGATTAATTGGTTCGACTTGCATTTTATCCTCAGTATTCTCAACATCCTCAACATCCTTGACATTCTCAACATTCTCAGGATTTGGAACGAAATTTTTCGTAGTCTCAACCACGAGAGAATTTAATCCAGCTGCTCCTTCATATTTTAATGTGTCTAACTTTGGTGGATAAGTTAAATTGACATCCGTAAATAATTTGAAGTTTACAAATCCAACGAGAGTTTGATAAAACTCCAAAAAAGTGGTCATCACACGAAAATCAACATCATCTGGAACCTTTTTTAAACAAGATAAAAATAAACTAACTATTAATATAAAAGTTAACTTGGTTTATGGTTTATATATAAAATATAAAATATGATAATCATTTTTAATTATTCACTAACCGAATGACTAAATTGATAAGGAACCAACCAATTTATTTGTTGACCCTTAATTTCCGCTTGATAATAAATACCCTTTATAGATAAGAAAACTTTACGCAAGCTACGCGTACGAATAACATAATGTTGAAATTCTAAAGATAATCGTTGACAATTTGTAACAATCTCGGAAGTTATCTTTTCAGTTGATGGAAATGTAGAGAATAAAAATATCAGACATAATGCATCATCAAGATCTCTCAGAGCGTCAATGAACGTAGGATATCTAAAAAATCAAACAAATAAATCAACTTAATTATCACTTAAATATGAATTTCATAAAGAATTTTTATTATTTACCTTTCTTTAATGATATAATCTAAAGTATAAAAAGGTTTATTTTTTTCTAAATTTTTTGCAATGCTCAACTGACGTTTTCCTAAAGCTTTAGTTAATTTTTTTAAAAATGTTTTGTGTTCTCGAAATTTTTTTAGGATAGGTTCGTGTGCAAGATATTGGATATCTTTCGTGTAGTAAAAAGTTGCGGGTGCGGTTGAACCTTTGTTGGCTTTTTTCTTATTTTTGGGTTCCCGAGGATAAATTCCCTTGAGAATACATAAACGCCTAGAAAATTTTTTTTTTTTTTTTTTATAAAAAAAAAAGAAATTAGCGATTAAAAAAAAATTTTTTTTGACAATACAAAGACACTTGCCGAAAATCCGCTAGTGTCAATTGAAGTTTGTTCAAGGCTTTATTTCTTGTAATATAATTAGTCGCTGCACCAGCCTTTCCTTTCTGCTTTAGTTTTCCCATTTCTGTAAACCAATTTTGCAATTGAAAAATCGAAAATTCGAAAAAAAAAGATTTGATTTAAATATTTTTTACTGATAATAATTTAGTCATGTGAAATTTTTTTAATTGACCATATATTTTATTTGTTATTTTATTTATTGGGCATATATTCATATTTCAATATTTGATACAAAATATTTAATATAATACTATGCAAATACAGATTTTTTTTTAGTACTTTGCAAAACCAGTTGGGATCCCCCTCCATTGAAAAATTAAAGATATTAAAGGAAGGAAATAAAAATAAAAAAAAATAAAATAAAATTACATAAATCTAACAATTCTAAATAAAGATTAATAAAAGGAAACATCCCAAATTTGTAAATAAGTTTGACTGATTTCGTTAATTGTAATAAAAACTAGTCTGTACATCTTTTTCGAATAAGTATTTTTTTTTAAAACTTAATCATTATAATATAGTCTTTCTTTTCATTAAATACGTTATCACCCCCATAAAAACGAACTTACTCTTAAGTTTGATAAGTAAATTGAAAATAAGAACAAATACAATATAAATTATAAAATAATTTTGTAATAGTATTTCTCTCATCAAAATCAATGAAGCATTTTTGAATCATTATTCATATTATTTGATGATGAATGCGTCTTCGTTGAGATGTGAGTCGAAGGAGTTCCGGTAGTCACGGGATTTGGGTCAGAATTATTATTATTTAAAATTTTCTCCAATCTATCTGATTTTTTTTTTAATTCTTCATTATGTCTTCTAAGTTCTTCATTTTGTTTTTTAAGTTCTTCATTTTCACGAAGTACTACCTGAAATTGACGATCAAGAGAATTCTACCAAAAAGAGAATTTTTTTTTTCAGGTATAAAATCATATAAGCTAAACCATAAAAGTAATGAGATGCAAATTAAATACCAAATGTGTGGATATTTCTTTTGGCGTATTTTTGATCATCACATTTCCATTTAAAGCAGGAAATTGCGGGTGGAGAAATTGGGGTGGAAAAGTCATTCGACCAACTGTAGAAGATGTACCAGAAATTTCACTCGTATATAAATTTTGCAATTCATTTAACACATTTCGTTGTGCTTCATTTTGATGTAGCAATTGTGCAATATGGGAACTTATTGAATTAGAGTTCGTCGGTAATCCTTGCCCTCGTAAGATAGATGTCGTTGGGGACATATTGGGTGATGGACCCATATAAGTGGATTGCGGTGAACATGTAATCTCAGTTGCACCAAAGTTACCTGATTTTAAGCAGTTTACATTTATATGCCAAATTAACGAAAAAAGTAAAAAAAAAAAAATAATTTGATTTTATTTGATTATTGATTTCATATAAAAAAAAAAACAGACAAAACGAAAACATCGCTTCTTATGAAAAAAAAAAAATACTATAGAAATCTTTTTTTTTTAAAAAAAAAAAATATTATTAAATTTGTATTTTATACATCGTTTCCAGTACTTTCTATACCTGGTAAAGATATAGGTCCATCTACCTTTGCTGTAACTGTAACATCAACACTAGAAGAAACATGAAATCTTCCTTTCTGGGTATTCACTGATTTCTCAGTAGTCGGTGAATCAACATTGTCCGATTGAAATCGGCTTGTGCTCTTATTGGTAGAATTCTCCTTGGGTGGTGATTCTCGAGAAAGTGAAGGCGATTGAAGAGAACTTTCTTTAGAAATATCTAATGATTGTTGAGAGGTTGACTGGACTTCGAACCTACTCTTTTTATTCTCTAAAAATCAATTTTAATTTAAAAAAAAAAAACTTTTTTGTCAGAATTCGTGATAAACTTAAAACAATGAATTGAACAACAGTGCAAAGCAAGTACCATCATATTAAGTGTCACCTGTTAAATTCTCGTTAGAATTCTCTTTTGCTAAATTAGGTCTTTGATTTTCTATTTCTGATTGTGACATAGCTCTATCTCTTTGATTAGGATTGTTGATAACAAATCTTCCCTTTTTTTCTGCCAAATCTTGAGTATTCTGATTAGGACCACTTAAACCGGTTTGTGAAAAAAGATTTTGAGAAGCAACAGAAGTGGTTGATGATGGTGAGTTAGAGGTGGGCAGAGTCTGTGGATTACTTGATTCTGTATTAGTACCCGAATCTTCAAAGAAAAACCGTGACTTTTTTGGAGGTTCCTTTGATTCCTTTGATTCTTCTTTGGGAATTTCACCAACATCAGAAGGTAAAGAGAAGCCAACTCGTTTTTCAAATATTTCATCAGGTACTTTGTTTTCGCTGTACTCTCCACTCTCACCACTTCCACAATTCTCAAAATCCCATGGATCTCCTTTGGTATAAGTTATAGGCTTCTGTTGACCTCCTGAAGATTTTTAAAAAAACTATAATTATGAAATATTCTCATATTACAAAATGATTAATCTTTTATTAAACATACTTTTATGTGGTCTTTCTTCTAATGGTGGTAAATGATGCAATATTTTTGTCACCAAAAATTCCTTTCTTTTTGCCTGTTTAAAGAATGCATGTGTTAACAATCTTTCAGCAGTTGGCCTATTGAAACGTAAGATATCAATAAAAATGATCATCAATTCAAACAAAAAAAAAAAAAAAGAAAAAATTCATGTTGATAACTTTCAATAAGTATTAGCAGAGATACCGTTTGGAGGGATCTTTTTGTAAACATAAATCAATCATTTCTTTAAAAGACTTTGTATATTTATGTTTGGTTGTATCTCTGTCCAAAGTAGGAGGATCATTTGAAAGAGTAACCAATATAACCTATAAATAGTAATTAGTATAATCAAATAGTAAAAATTTGATAATCTAATTTGAAACAAATCAACACCTTTAAAGGAGGAAATTTTGCAAAAGGTGCGTGACCCGTTGCCAGTTCCAAAGCAGTTATTCCAAAAGACCAAATATCTGCTTTATAATCGTATCCGGCATGTTGCATTATTTCTGGAGCCATCCAACATGGCTGAATCATATTTTTAGAAAATATTATATAAACAGATAAGATTAATAAATATTCAATAATAAAATATAATAAATATAAAATTCAATTTTAAATTAATTTAATTATATTCTCAATTTACCGTTCCAACGAAAGTTCTTCGAAATCTCCTATCGCCATTTTCAGTTAGGGATGAAGAAACACCAAAATCAGCTAACAGAACGGAACCATCTTCATCCACAAGCAAATTTCCAGCTTTAACATCCCTTTTTTTAAAAAAAAATGATCATAAAAAGGTTAGTTAAAAATAAATTCTCATAAACTTGACTGAAAAGAAGAAGAAGAAAAGAAAAACTTTACCTATGAATATGACCATTTTTATGTAAATAATCCAAACCTTGAAGAGCCTGCTTCAGTATAGTAGCTATGACCGCCTCCTCAAAGCCATCAGGATAAGAAGTTTTCATGATATCCGAACAAGAACCTGATAATTTGGGTGGATATCTTTCAACATGTTCACATGATGTTGGAACAATGGCAATTTATGTAATGAAACGTCATTCACTTAATTAAGCGGACATACCAGCCGACATGTAAGGGGTAGCAATAAATAATTTTGATTCATTCACGAAAGAGCCATAAACTCGTAGGACATTTGGGTGCTTAGATAAGGACATCAATTGAGTTTCTCTCTAGTAAGTAAAAATAAATAAAATAAATAAATAAAATAAATAAAATAAATAATAAAAAAAAAAAAAAAAAGAAATCAGTTATTAGAAATTTTTTTACAATTATAAAATTCATAATAAATAATATTGATATAACTTACCCTTACTTCATCGATTTGATTTCTCTCGAAATGATCCAAGTCAATCATTTTAACAGCAACCTTTTTGGAAAGAGGTTTATATGTGGCCCCATATACAATAGCAGAAGCCCCATAACCTTTAATATCAAAGGATAAAAAAAAAAATTAAAAAATTAAAATGAAATTCTAAAATGCAATAAACTAAATAAAATAATTTTGAATAATTAATATTCTTTTGTAAAATACTTTCTATCGTAAAAAAAATAAATAAATATATATATATATATATATAAAGGTGATTTCCAATCCTATGCTATTTTTAAAATAATCAATAATATTATATGACGTCTTTTTGATTCCATACCTATAGGACTGTTTATATTAATATCATAATCTTCAACATTGCTGGAAAAAATATGATCCTCTGACTGAATATTCATGAGAGAAGATCCAGAAGAAACGCTCGTTGTTCTCCTTGCCACATGAGACACAGACATTTCTATTATACCGGCCTGTGTTCTAAATGAAGGTTAGCCGCAATTTAGAGCTGGATTTGTTTCGAAGGGTCAAATTTTCGATATGAAACAAAATTATTAAGTAACGACACAAAGAGTGAACTTTACTGATGCACCTCGCTGTGTACGCTTAATAGGAAATTTATCTAAAGCTCACTACTGGTGATCATCACACATAACGAACTATCTGGGTAGAATTAAGGCTATTATTGGTTGATTAGGAAATTATTTGTAATTTGTTTTTTTAATTTTTATAAATTTTAATTAATATATATATATATATATATATTATTTTTAATAATGTATCTTTTGAGATAAGAGATAAAATTACATATAAATAAAATTAAAGCTTTGACAATAGATAACGACGTTGGAATTATTTTTTATAAATCATTTTGCCAATTCTTTCAATTCTTTATTGACAAAAAAATTCCCCGTTATTTTTAATATTACAATAAAAAAAATTTATTACATATATATTTTTATTAACAATTTATTACATTAATCACTAATTATTACATCATGAGCAATTTTTGTGAACTAAACCTTTTAAAAATAAAAGAAGACAGATTTGTTAAAAACCTAAATGTTTTTATACTTTTATAAAGATTTTTTTAACCTTAGAATAGTTAGATAATATTATTTATTATTTATAAAAAAAAATTTTTTAAAAAAAAAAAAAATAAATAAAATGTTTAATTTCTTGTTAAAACCTCAAATAGTGGTCTCAGGAAGAATCTCTTTATAATAGTCAAATAAAAAAAAAAAAAAAAAAGTGAATATCAAAAGAAAAATTGTAAAAAATTGTACAACAGAACCATCTGATTGTGGTTTTTCGCGTTCACAAGTGTTTTACTTTTCGAGTTTTAATTTTTAAGTTTATTATCAAAGTATTCAAGTATGAAACTTAAAGTCCGAGTAAAAGACAAAAGTCATAATATTACTGACTTGGACGAAAATTCTAAAATATTAGATTTAAAAAAAACAATACAAACATTTACTGGCGTTCCTCCTTCGCTTCAAGAACGTATGTGTACAATTTTTTTTTAAAAAAAATAACAATAATTTTTTTCTAATTCTTTCAACTTAACTTTCTAAACAGTTAAAGTAGGGTATCCACCTCGCGTTTGTAACGCGGGTGACCACGAAACTTTAACTTCTGCTGGAATACAGAATGGAGAAGTTATTATTTTCACAGAGTTATCAGAAGTAGTTAAGCCTTCTAAAATTAATCCTCCTACTACTAATCCTCCTACTACTAATCCCCCTACCATTAATCCCCCTAAAATTAATCCCCCTACAATTAATCCCCCTACTACTAACAAACCTAAAAAATCAGATAATTATAATTTACCAAAAAATGAAATCATATCTGTTCCCGTAAATGATGGATTCGTTATCCTGAGAGTATGCTTTTTTTCTCTCTCTCAATTTTTACAATTTGTTTTTCTTTAATTTCTTTTTTATATTTGATGAACATTATAATTAATTAATTTTTCAGGAAATGGAAGATGATAATTCTTGTTTATTTCGTGCAATTGGTGAGTGATAGAAAAAAAAATCTTGTTTTCATTTTTCATAGATAGATAGATAGATAACTAATTAATTTTTTATTAAAATTTATCAAATTATATTTAATTATTAGGGTATATGTTGTTTATTGTTTGAGATTTAAAATCATTTGTTATTATTTTATAAAACATCATCAACTCAATTTTTTCTATAAAAAAAAAAATATCAAAAGTTATGTATTAGAAAGGTCAAAGAATGAAGTTCAACGTCTCCGACAAAGTAAGTTCTTTTACTCAATATTATCCTATTTTTTACCAAACGAATGATAATTTATATTTTTTAATTATTTTCAGTTATTATTGACACCATAAAAAATGATCCGACTACATATTCGGATGTCTTTTTGGGAAGGCCACGTAATGAATATTGTTCTTGGATTGCACAAAAAAATAGTTGGGGTGGTGCCATTGGTAAAATAACTAAAAAAAAAAATTTTAGTACCAATTTAATGTATTTGATTTGACAAATTTTTTTTTTTTTTTAAAAAAAAAAATCGAATTTTTTATCTTAGAAACTTCTATCTTCGCGTCTCATTACAAAACTGGTATATCATTAATTGATATATATATATATATATGTGTTTTTTCTTTTTTTTTTTTTTTTTTGAACTGCAACTTTTTTATTCATTAGTTTATAATATTCAAAGAAATTTGTAGTGTGGATGTTAAAACCGGAAGAATCGATCGATTTGGTATTTTTTAGATTCTTTATGTTGATTTTTTTTTTTTCATTTAATTCAAATATAGTTCTTTAGTTTCTAATTAAAATTTCTATAGGCCAAGGAAAATACGATCAACGCGTATATGTTATATACGGGTTTGTATTTTTTATTATTATCTCAATGATTAAGTATCATATAAAAATGTTCTAATATAATTTATTTAATATATTTATTTGAAGTGGAATTCGTACGTATTTTATGATTTTCTCGAATTCAAAAAAAAAAAAAAGATTTGAACATATCTTTTAATTTGTTTACTTGATAATAATTTATTATAGATTATGATTCTATTGCTTATGCACCACTTCTTGATGCTAGTCCAGAATTTGATCAAACAATTTTTAGTCCATCGGATGAAACTTTTTTAACGGCTGTCCTTGAGATTGCGAATAAAATGAGACAGGTAAAATTATTATTATTATTTTTTATTTTTTTTTTTTAAAAAAAAGAATAATTAATTTCATTATTTCAAATAATACGTGCTTATAAACAATTGATATCATAGTTGCATAAATACACTTATACAACTGACTTTACGATACGTTGTGATCAATGTAAAAAAGGTTTAAGGGGTGAAAAAGAAGCAGTACAGCATGCAACTGAAACCGGTATATATATATATTATTTTACATTATATCAAATGTTCATTCTGTCACGAATAATTAACTGAGGAATATTTTGAACATTTGAACATTTTAATTGTTTTGAATTAGGGCATACTAACTTTAAAGAATATTAAATTTAACCCTATTAAAGAAGAAGGAATTTTTTGGTTATTATTTTATCCTATACTTTTTTTTTTTTTTGAAGGCATATTTTTACTTCTGACTTTTTATTTATTATTATTTTTATATATATACATATTACATTGTATATTTAATTCATATATATAATATGAAAAGAATACGAGACATATATAGAATAAAATTATATTATATAAACGGTCAGAATTAATTCTTTTTTTGATATATACAAAATTATATAGAAAAAGTATTATAAAAAGAAATTCATATTAAAAAAGATATTAATATTAATGTGTAACTTAAACTTAGTAATTCGATAAATTTGATTCGTAAGTTGGTTTTGATAGGAAAAAAATAAAATAAAATCATAAAACTTCCTACAATAAAAGTGATTTAACATCAATCGATTTACGTGGGCACTCAATCGATGGCATTGAAATTGTTGAAGATGATCTTGATATTCTGAACGAATTTTCAAAGTCATCTCCAACGGCAGATGGAGGAGGGGTGAGAAATTCCACTTCCTCTTGTGCACATAATTTTGAACGTAATTTTTGATTCTAAATATAAAATAAAATAAAATAAAAAAAAAAAAAAAAAAAAAAAAAAAAAACGAAAACACGTGATGATTAATACCCAATCTGAATTTATCTAATGAATTCCCCAAAAAGAAAAAAAAAATGAATACATGTTAAATGTTACATACGTGTCTCTCTAATTCTCGTATTTTTGTTTGAGAAGCAATCTTTTCTTCGTTTTCTTCTTCCAATTTCTTTTCCAATTCAATAACTCGCTTAACATTATTCATACTTTCTAACTCTTGAACTCTTCGTTCCAAAAATTGACATTTGTCCTTCATTTCTCTTTCACGTTGCTTTCTTCGATCACGAAAACGCGCTGATGCACCAGCATTTCGTCGTCTCTTTTCTGCTAACAATTCGGATGCGGGATCAATATAAGGATGATAATGTATTGGTTTCGTAAAATTATGGTGATCATTTGAACGCGAAGATGAAATTTGTGAAGGAATTCGTGAAGGCATTTGTGAGGGCATCTGTGAAGGCATCTGTGAGGGCATCTGTGAAGGAATTTGCGGAGGTGCGGTCATCGTAATTTGAGACGCAGAAGCAAGAATAAATTTCCATTCAGAGGATGATGTCGTTGGAGGATATGTTAAAGTAGATGATGGTGATGTTGTTGGAGCTGAATAAATATATGAACCAGGAACACGCATAGATGATGATGATGATGATGTCATCCGGTTAATTTCATGCGGAGGATTAGAAAAGTCCGCAGTAGGGGAAAGGGATGACATTTCAGGAGCGAGACATGATACAGGTGGTAAAATAGTTGTAGCATTTTCTGAAATTTGAGATGATGTTCCGAGAGTCATTATTGGAGGTAAAACTCTTTCAGAAGAGTTAAAGACCATTATTGAGTATTAAAAAAAAAGAAGAAAGAAAATAAAAATTTATAATTATAAGGAATAAATAAATCAAAAATAAAAAAAATATTGGGGTGGTTTTATTAATTTATTTACGTTATTTTTTAAGGTTTCAATTATTGTACTGATTATCGTAAATTGTGTAATATAATAATATTGCAATTATTGTTTTTCAAGTTGAAAAAAAAAATAAAGAGAAAAAACAGAAAGAAAAGATTGACAGAAATTATTGACTGTAATTATTTCTCGAGTTTATGTAGGGACTCGCGTTTTTTCAATTATATAGGAAATTTTTTTTTATAAAAAAGATATGTAATCATTTATCGGTAATTTGTACATATTTTTATCTGAAAAAATTTTTTTATTTATGTATACTATTATAATATAAATCATAATATTAATATAAAGCAAGGGAACGGGAACCAGTCGTACGAATGATTAAAATGGGAAAAAGATATCAGAGGACTCTATTATTCGATTATGTAATCAATTATCTTTTCGTATTAGTTTTTTTTTAAAGTCATTATTACTCAAATATTTCACAATAGCATGTAACCATTAAAATAAAAATTAACAAATAAGATCTAGCATTAAATAAATAAAAAATATATTTCGATAAGAAATTTTCGGGATGGCTGATATTTACTTTTGTTTATTGATATTATCTTCTTTTTTTTTTAAAAAAAAAAAAAGGCTGGATAATAGGAAGAATTTCAAAAGTTTAAATTACGTCATTTGTCTATTGAGAGGAAACGCCATATGAATAATTCAAAATGGGTAATACAAGATAATTATTGCGTGATTGTGAAGTTTTGTAATCAAAAATTTTCCCATTCTAATTCAATCAGGGAAGGATATGAATTAACATAATGCAGACCCGAATTACGAAATCAAAAATATAGCATACAAATAGCCATATTTCATCATTTGCAGTTTATTGTGCATCGGCGTTTTATTTTGCGAAAATAACCCGGGGGGCAGGGTTAAAGAGAATTATGTAATTTTTTTTGCCTTCGTGATTTTCACCCAGGGTTGAAAATTAATTGATGATATTCGTTTTTTTTTTGTCTGATAGAATTTTATTTATTTTTTTTTTTAGAAATTTTTTTTTTACATTTTTTAAAAATGTAAATAATTAAAGACATGTGTTTGTAAGAATTATCTATTATGATAACGAACAAAATAATAAATAAAATAATAAATAATGTCCATTTTTGATTTAAATATACCTCAATGAAACCTTATATGCATTTATTCTTTATTTATTTCTGCTTCATTTAATCCCGAATAAATCTTAGTTGTTTTTTACATAAATAATTATTAGTAACAAAAAATATTATGTATGTAATTCGTATGTTAAGGTGATGTAAGTGTAACAACGCAATGACCATCTTCCAAAAACCCCAGTTATTATTCTTTTTTGTTTTGATAATGTAATCGCATAATTTAATGGTCCCAGGTCAAAAAAAAAAACAAAACAAATAAGAGACAATTTGGCAAAAAAAAAACTTGTTTTATAAGGAATTGTTAATTGTATGACAATTATTTTATTTTTAAAATAGTATTATTTTGTTTCAAAATTAATACTAGTTTCGATCACTTAATCAGATATTATTAAGTATATTAAGTATCTCTTATCTCTACAATAGTTTTTATAATAGTTTTTTTTTGATGGTTCGTATTTTAACTAATATTAAATAATTAAATAATTATAGGTACTTTTTTCTCTTCTTTGCTTTATTGATATTAGATTAAAAAATTCATCTCAATTTCTATTACTAGTTATAAATGACACAGATGAAATGAAATTTTATCATAAAATAGACAATAATTTTATAGAAAGTTGGCTTAAAAATAGACATACACAAAAATATTGAATTGACTCTTTCACCAATCACATTAATCATCCATCAATAGCGAGGATGATTATGAGCAGACTTCACTTTTTACATCTGAAGTAATTTTTACCTTAAAAATTTTTAAAAATTAAAATTTTTTGTCTTATGAATATCAGTTTTTAATCTTTGTTTTTAACCTAACTTACCAATAAAAATTTTCATTCAATTTGTTCAATCTGTGGGATTTATCGCAAATCTTAAAAGAGATATAATCTTTTAGATCAGGTTTCAAAACATTTTATCCAGTATATTCTGGTATTTTTTTATTTTTATTTTTTCTTTATAAAATAAAAATTCTAAATTTATAATAGAGAACATAATAACAAAAGATCCGAAAAATAATATAAATAATAAAAACATTAACATTTAAATTGATAATAATAAATATCTATATTACAATCTAAAAAGAATATAAAAGGATCCAAATAATTATATCAAAACAAAACAACTTAACGAAAGATCGACATAATGAAAAAAAAGAAAGTATATTTTGAATTAGCAAACCAAGAAGAAAAGTACACAAAAATATTTTAAAAAAAAACAGTAAATAAAATTCATTTTTAGTAGTGTATTGTTTGTTCTAACGTTTTTGAAACGTTTTTTATAAACAAAATTGTGTAACGTTACATATACATAATTTTGAAAAAAATTCAAAATTAAGATTTTGGGTGTCCTAATAATATCGGGCACACGATATTTTGAAAAATGAATAATCGGGAAAAAAAATCTCATTGAATGGTGGTAGTCTCGTATTAATTATATTGGGAATATTTAAACATTTCTAAAGTTTTTTTTTTTTTTTTTTTTTTTTTTTTTTTTGTTACAATACCTCAGAATCCAGTGATTCCGGAAACATGATCTATAACTTGTTAGATTCTTCTCGTCAAGACGAGCTGAGTGGTAATTATTTTATATCAATTGGATTTTAGAAATTTATCAAAAATACTATTTCAGACTAATCATATGACTAGAATAAAAATGATAGCCAATTATGTTATGCAAATTTATTATTGGTTATATTTAATAAGTGAGCGATCAAAATCATCTTCAAGGACAGGTTGACAGGTTTCATAGCTTTAATAAAATAAGATCCATTCTAAAATGGGGCACAAGACTTTTCTAATAATTTAAGAAAAAGACTGGGTTTCAGATAATTGAATTCTTAAGTGTACTAAAATTCTATAAATATTTGTTCAATTAAGTCCTTAAGTAAATAGAAATACAGGCAAGAAAATCTAATATATACTTTCAAAAATTTACTTTACTATTTTCATATTTATTAACATACTGATCAATAATAAGCAAGTTATTCTGTGGACATAATTTCTTTACAAACCTCACATTCTGTTCCAAGTAACAAATATCATATAATATATAAAAAATAAATAGATTATGATAAAAGAATATTCCACGTTTGGGGAGCAAATACTCTCAAAGAATTTTTTCAACTTCCTCCTTGATTGAATTACCAACAATGTAGAGGTTATATGTGGAATATGCAACGCTATCGGTATCAAATGTAGTGCAAGATTAAAGAAAGATGTTGTTACCAAGTACAACCACAAAACTTAACTCTCAACTCAGTTTTAAATCAGAGATAAGCACTACATAAAAATGTTTCTTTTGTTTTGTATTAAACACAAACTCTAAATTAGCCAATAGGGGAGGGGGGTTCGATTTGCACGTCTGTAGATAATAATTACATCCAAAATTGCTCGGAAATTGAATTAGCACAAGATCGTTGGTTACATTAATTGTATTAATTTGTCCAACACAGCAGTCCTAAGATAACGTGAATTCTTTTGGAGGGTAGCAATTAAATGCTTACGTTTCCAGATGCCATAATTACATTACGCAAACCGTGTTACTACTATATTTAGTACTCTCCGATATCGATATTACTAAAAATGGAGCTATGTAATCATTCAAGGTTATACAACTTGATTATCGATTTACTATCTATCTATGGCTTTTATCTAATCCAAATTCTTATCTAATCAAACCAATATAAAAGATACAAATTTACTCTGTTTTTTTTTAAAAAAAAATTTATAAATATATATAATGCCATTAATTCAACAACAAGCGGTAGAGAAATTTGTTAAATTTACCAACACAACAGCAGGTCGTGATAAGGCATATAGAAGTGTTCAGTTCTTTGCTCGTTTTCTAGTTTGGTGTTTAAGTCGTAAAGGTTATGATAAGGAAACTATTCAACGTTTTAACCTTTTGAAGAATATTTTGGGTAGTTCCAGGAAATGTAAATATATAATAATATTTAAACCTATTCATTTTTATCAATTTACTGTTAATGGTTTAAACATTAATAAGAAGACAATACTTTTTGCTTCTAGTATTCCGGTTTGGAAAATTTGTGGAGAATTTGCAAAACGCTAGTAAAGCCTATTACAATACTGAAGGGTTCGCGAAATTTACTACCGTTGGTAAACAAATTTCTTTCTCTGTCTATTTGTTTTTGGATTCATTAGCTTGGGTAAGTAATTCAACAAATTCATTTTTTTTTCTTTTTTAAATTCTATTTAATAAAGAAATATTATTATCATTCAATTATAGATTCATAGCACTGGTGCATATAAATTCAATCAAATTAAACGAATGAATGAAACTTCTGCTAGATTTTGGTTTATTGGTATCACATTCTCAATATTCAATGGCATATACAGATTAAATCAAAATAACCACCAACGTGATTACTTTGAAAAGGTCAGTAGATCAAAATTAGCAGAAAAAGATGAACATACCAATATCCGCGCTGAGACCTCAAAACTTAAAAGGTTTTTATTTTGTTTATTTTATTATATAATAATTTTATTATTATTATTCTTCTTATTTTATAATTTTTATTATTATAATCTTTTTTTTTAGCGAATATTACGCTCTCAGAAAACAACTTATTATAGATTTTCTCGACATTACAATTCCTGCCACAGTCCTTGGCTATATTAAGTGGGAAGATGGTTTGATTGGTCTTGCTGGATTAATTTCATCAATCTTAGGTATTCAATCACAATGGAAAAAACTTTAGTATAAATATTGTTACATTTCAATTATCTTAGTGTTTGATTGTTGATTTATACGGAAAAGATCTTTTGATTACTGCAATAAAAAAAAATTTATTTTTTAATTTATTTATTTAATAAAAATTATCATTACTGTTTTTAAATTCATTTTTTTTTTTTTGAAGTAATAAAAAATTTTCCAAATTTGATAATTATTTAACTGCTCGTTATTATTGGCTGCATACGTGCATAATTAAAGGCTGAAAAAAATTAACATTCTAACCAAAAATATCACAAATGATATACACGATAGATCTAGATTCACGTGATATTAAATTTTCAAAATTTCAAAAAAAATTTTTTTTTTTTTTTTTTCAAAAATTATAAACGCTTGTTACCTTACTAGGTATCAAAAAATCAAAAAATCAAAAAATCAAAAACTCTTTTACGCAATGATAATAGAAAGATCCGCAATGACAGAATCAAATTCTTATCAACAAGCTTCTAATCAAGACTATTGTAATGGATCGTCTATCAACGGAAATACAAATGGTTCCACCCAAAATGACTCTTCAAAACAAAAGAAACCTTCCTATCAATTGAAGTATAGTTTGATGGGACATAAAAAACCTATTTCTAGTGTAAAATTTTCTCCTGACGGAAAATGGCTTGCTAGTTCCTGTAAGCGACCAGATATAAACTTAAATTTCTTTTCTTTTTTTTTTTTAAATATAAATTAAATTAAAAAGCACCCGAAAATTTATTTCAAGTATTGTAAGTTTCACAACTTATGAACAATAATTCAAATAATTAATTATTTTTATTTTCATTTTATCAATTGTTAATTTGAAAATATATATAAATATATATATTAAAGCTGCTGATAAAACTATAAAAATCTGGAACGCTTATACTGGTCAATATCAAAGAACTTTTGAAGGACATGCCCAAGGAATATCAGACGTAGCGTGGGCTATTGATTCAATGTCATTATGTTCAGGATCAGATGACACAACGATACGAATCTGGCATATGAATCAGGTAAAACAATATTTTTAATTGATTTATATTCTTTGTATTAATTATTTATTCATTTTTTCATTTTTCATCTATTTATCTTTATTTCTTTATATTTATCTCTTTATATTTATTTGGTAATTTTTATTTGATCCAGGACAATGCTGTAAAAATTCTCAGAGGTCACACGAATTATGTTTTCAGCGTGAATTATAATCCTCAATCAAGTTTAATCGTTTCCGGTTCTTTTGATGAAAGTGTGAGAATTTGGGACGTTAGAAATGGTATGTTTAATAAAAGTTAATATTAAAAATTCATTAAAAATCTTTTAATATCATTGTTAACAAAAAAAAAATGAAATTTACGCGTATTTGTAGGAAAATGTGTGAAAATCTTGCCTGCCCATTCTGATCCTGTCTCTGCCGTACATTTTAATAGAGACGGAACAATGATCGTTTCATGTGGTTATGATGGATTAATGTAAGAAAATCAATATGAATTTATAAACCTCGGAAAAAAAAAATAATAATAATTTTATTAACAAATTGATATTTTCGTTTAATTTTAATTTTCAGTCGCATTTGGGATACCGCGTCCGGTCAATGTTTAAAGACGATAGTCGACGATGATAATCCACCAGTGTTAGTATTAACTTTTAATATTCATAACATTTACGAGTTTTGAATTAGATATCAAATCTCAAACAAATCACTTTTTATTATTATTATTATTATTATTATTATTAGTTCTTTTGTGAAATTTTCTCCTAATGGAAAATATATTCTTGCGTCAACTCTTGACAATACTTTACGTTTATGGAATTTTCATTCTTCAAAATGTTTGAAAACATATAATGGTCATTTGAACAATAAATATTGCGTGTTCTCAAGTTTTTCTGTTACTGGTGGAAAGTGGATTGTAAGTGGTAGCGAAGATCATTGTATCTATATATGGAATTTGCAGAGCAAAGAAATCGTTCAAAAATTGGAAGGTCATACTGGTAATTATTATTTAAAAAATTATTGTTTCTTTTTTCGAAATTTTAAAGTTCATTTTTGATTCATTTTATTTTACTTTTTTTGTTTACCATTATTATTTATCATTATTTATCATTATTTCGACTAGATGTTGTTCTCACTATCGCATGTCATCCAACTAAAGATATAATCGCATCTGGTGCAATTGGGAACGACAAAACCATTAAAATATGGGTTGATAAATAATAATAGTTTCATTTTGTCTTGTTTTTCTATTTAGTTCACTGTATTATCCCAAAAAAAAAAAAAAAAAAAGTTTTCTGTTTCTTTCATATTATCACATCACATCAAATTAATTCATTGCAATTCTGTTGTTGATGTTGTTGTTGGGGAGCAGCGTATCATGTTATGGTGAGCACAATTTTGAAAAAAAAAAAGCAATCAAAATTTACTATATATTTCTCTTTTGCATAGAAAAATTAAAAATTAAAATTATAAAAAATTAAAATTTTTAAAAAATATTTTTTGATTTGATTTTTTCGTGGAACGTCAATTGCATCTCGCTATCGCATCGCTCGCAAATACAAAAGAGAAATTAAAGGTTTATTCTATTGTCACGTGAAAATGATATATGGTTTTAAACTCACGTAAAGATTTATATACAAATTAGACTCGCGTATGCTTTATACTTTACAACTTTTAAGCAAGTTATAAATATAATTCAATTGTTCATTCTTCTATAAATCACTTTCTCTATTTATTATCATAAATTATTGTTAAAGTTGATATTTGTTAATTAATATTGTTAAAGTTAATATTTGTTAATTAACGTTATTATTATTATTATTATTATTATTATTATTATTATTATTATTAAATTAATAATGAACGAAATTGAACAAGTACCAGATCAAGAAGCTGAAATTCAAGAATTTGAAGATGAAGACGTAAAATAATATTTTTATTATTAAAACAAATATTAAAACAAATGTAAATCATTTCGAAAATTTTTTATAAATAAAAATTACAGGAACTTTTCTACACTGAAATAGATGAAATTCAAAACCATGGAATTGGTGCAGCTGATATTAGCAAACTTAAGAGTGCTGGTATCTGTACAGTACGGGTAAATTAAAATATGATTATACTTATATATTTACTTATATATATTATTGAAAATTTCTTTCAAAAAATTTAAAATCTAAATCAATGTTTGGATAAGGCAATTCATATGACAACCCGCAAGAATCTCTGTAAGATTAAAGGTCTTTCTGAAGCAAAGGTCGATAAACTCAAAGAAACTGCCACAAAATTACAGGTAAAATCTTTGTATTTCACGTGATATTAAAGTTTGTTCGAACGAAAGAATAAAGTTACAAATTTATTATTTTAATATTTACTTAAACTTTGCACAGTCAGCTTCTTTTATGACAGCCACAGAATTTTCGTTAATAAGATCGAAAGTTATGTATATTTCAACAGGTAGCAAATCATTGGATGCGCTTATGGGTGGTAAGCTTCTCATTTTTTTTTATTATGTATAAATTATTTAAAAGGCTTAGTATCATCATAAATATTTCTTTTTTATTTAACCTAATAAGGAGGAATTCCAACAATGTCTATAACTGAAGCATTTGGTGAATTCAGAACTGGAAAAACTCAAATCGCTCATACACTTAGTGTCGTGGCACAACTTCCTCCTGTAATGGGTGGGACAAACGGAAAGGTAGCATATCTTAGAGTATAATATCAGTTCTCATAAATTTTAATAATTAATTAATATATTTTCATTTATTTAGGCCGCATTCATTGATACAGAAGGTAAAAAAAAAGTTATATTTATATTCATTTATATTATTATTTTTTTTTTTACTTAATTGTTTCTTGTGAAATTTGTGAAATTCAGGTACTTTCAGACCTGAACGTATCAAATCTATTGCGGCTCGTTTCGGAATTGACCATGAAGCAGCACTTGAAAATATTATATTTGCACGTGCTTATACTTCAGAGCATCAAATGGAGCTAATAATTGAATTGGCTGCTAGATTTGCTGAAGAAAGAGGTGTATACCGTTTATTAGTAAGATTATATATATATGTATTTTTCAAATAACTTTCTAATATTTATAATGACACCGCACATATATATTTATAAAGACACCACACATACATATTTATATTTATATAGGTTATCGATTCAATTATCGCTCTTTTCCGTACTGATTATGCTGGTCGCGGTGAACTTGCCGAAAGACAACAAAAGTTGAATATAATGCTAAGTCGATTAATAAAGATATCGGAAGAATTTAATGTTGCTGTCTACATTACAAACCAAGTCTGTAATTGTAATTGTAAATAAATATTTTTAATAAATTCATCAATATATATGTAAACGTATCTATTTTATTTTATAGATTCAAGCTGATCCGGGAAGTAATATGATGTTCGTTAGTGATCCTCGAAAACCTATAGGAGGACATGTCCTGGCTCACGCGTAAGCTTATGAAAATTTTAATTAATACATTTTTTTAGTGTTTTAAATATTCTTTTTTTTTTTAAAAAAAATTTTTTTTTTTGAATTATAGTTCAACAGTTCGTCTTTATTTGAGAAAAGGACGTGGCGACGAACGTGTCGCTAAAGTTTATGATTCTCCAGATATGCCTGAAGCCGAGGCTCGTAAGTATATGATAAAATATCATCATCTTCGATTATCAAATAAATTAAATAAATTAATATATTTTATGCTTGAAAAAAAAAAAATCTGCAGCATATACAATTTCGACGGGCGGAATCATTGACAGTTCCAGTTAAATTCTCATTGTATAAAAAAAATTATTCCGTATTTGTATTCATTATATAATCTAAAATTGGATATATCACATTTTTTCCGAAATTGATGGCGTAAAAACGACAAATTCTAATGATAACGTGTGTATTGTACAGTATTAAAGTTTCACCACTTACAAATAATGAATTTGATAAATATCTAGTGTGAATATGTAATATTTAGAATACTCTTGTCAAAGGTTGTGTAAATCTTTCATCTACGCCGATCTCCAGACCATGTGTAATATAAATCATGTGATTCTGTCGCGATACGTCATATAAATAAACAACAAATAATAATATTTACTTTGATCAAACTTTACCTCGATCAAACTTTACCATTTCGTTTGAAATAAATGGAAAACATTTCTTTTAACGGTGAAGCAATTCCAATGAAAAGAAAACGCAGACGAAGCAATGAACACTCTGTAAAAGAAGGAGAAAAAGCTATTAATATTCAAGTTGTTGTACGATGCCGGTAAGATTATTAAATACAAACTGCGTTTTTTTTTTTTGAAACACCTGGTAAAATTTAATTGTCATAAATAGTGCCCGAATTGAACGTGAAATAGCCGCAAATTCGCCAGTTATCGTAAAAACTGCAGCTAGAGAATTACAGGTTCGATTAAATCCGCTAGACATATTACCACATAAAACCTATACATTTGATAGAGTTTTTGGTCCAGAGGTGAATCAAAAAAAAGTATTTGATAATGTTGTAGTCCCAATCTTAAACGAAGTTAGAGCAGGATATAATTGTACTTTATTCGCTTACGGTCAAACATCAACTGGTAAAACGTTCACAATGGAGGGTAATCTAAACACAAACAACGATATCATAAGTAGCGATGCTGGTGTTATTCCACGTGCACTCCATAATATATATGAAACTCTTGAAGAAGAATCTGCAGACTTTTCGGTCAAAGTTTCTTACATTGAACTTTATAACGAAGAGCTCAAAGATTTACTTTCCTCTGATGATACTGATCCAAGGAAATTGAAGATTTTGGATGATAACAACAAAAAAGGTGTACTTCATGGTCATGAAGAAGTACTTATTCAGAATGCGGAACATGGTATTCGCGTCTTAAAACAAGGTTCAATTAAACGCCATATGGCCCAAACTAATTATAACAAAAATTCCAGGTAAATTTATTACAACATTAATATATAAAAAATTTCGTAAAAAAAATTCACAATTGAATTACATTTAATAAACAGTCGATCCCATTCCGTGTTTTGCATTACGGTTCATATAAAAGAAACCATGCCAGATGGGGAAGATTTACTAAAAGTTGGAAAATTATACTTGGTTGATTTGGCTGGATCAGAAAATATTAGCCGAACTGGAGCCGAAAACATTAGGGCTAAAGAAGCTGGAACAATCAACAAAAGTTTGTTAACCCTAGGACGATGCATTAACAGCTTAAATGAACATGCTATTCACATCCCATACAGGTTGGTTAGATCTATTATTTGCGAAATTTTATATAAAACATTTGAAAAAAAAAAAATACAAACAGTGAATCATTTCATTACAGAGAAAGCAAGTTGACGCGACTATTACAAGACTCACTAGGTGGTCGAACTAAAACTTGCATAATTGCGACAATATCTCCCGCAAAACAAAGTTATGAAGAGACTTTATCAACATTAGACTACGCACACCGCGCCAAAAACATCCAAAATAAACCAGTTGTTAACCAACGTGTCACCAAGAAAGCATTAATCAAAGAGTACATTTGTGAAATTGAACGTTTGAAAGCTGATTTAACGGTATGGTTTTAATTTTATCGATAAATAATTCTTTGAAAAAATTTAAACATTCAGTTTTAATTATTTATAGGCCGCTCGTGAGAAAAATGGGGTGTATATTTCAAAAGAAGAATTTGATAGGTTAGTCGATGAGAATTCGGATTTGAATAATAAAATTAGTAAGTTTGTTTTCTTATTTAAATGTAAAGATTTTGTTTTTTCATATAAATAAACTTAATTTGGAATTAATATTGAATAACAACCAAATTATTATGAAATCAGATCAATTTATCGCCGTTGATAATCATAACCGCAATGCTTTCAGGGAATTTTCTGAATCTCTTTTATCAGTGACTTCACAATTTGAATCTAAACTCGATGAACTAAAATCTATGCATATCGTATTTGGGGAGTCGATGGTCAACAAAACAAATGAATTCATGGAAAATCATGCAATGGTAATCATCATGGTTATTTATTATTTAATGTAAATTTTCATCAAGTTATAAATTAAATCGTTGAATGATGATGAATTCTCGTTTTTTTCCAAAGGATATTGCAGAGTGTCTCAAGTATATTAACGATCGTCTTGATCAATTTGACCAACAAAGAGATAATATGGAACATTTACTCAAAACCGAAGAAAAGGCTTCCTCGAGTTTGTATGAAGAACTCATTAAGTTCCGTCAGGAAACGACAAAAAATTTGATTCAAAAAGAACAGGAATTGCGCACAAAATCTACGACAATGCTGGAAAATTTGAAACATGAATTATCTGTTCAATTTGATAATGTGAGATTTTTTTTCTTTTGATGAGTAAACAGAGCGTATAATAATATAGTTAAGAATATTAATATTATTCGAAACAATTTAAACAATTTGTAGATTCGCTCATTTCGTGAAAAAATAGATGAGGATGTAAAATACATGGTGAAGTCAACTCAAACCCACATTGATTCCCAGAATCGAACAATTATTAATAATAAAGACCATACTAAGGAAGCTATTGAAGACGAAGTAAATGTCAAGAATAATTGAAAGAACTATTCAATTCCTGTTATTTATTATATTTTATTGATTTATTGACATTTTATTTTATTAGAAAAAATTTCTTATGGAACAAATTCAAAATTTGCATGGAATTGTGGAAGAAGAACGAAATAGAAGAATGGCTATGCAAGTGGAATTTATAGCAAACGTTACAGCATATCTTAATAATTTTGAAACAAACCAGGCCGCTAGATTAAAAGCTTCCGTAGAAACTGTTCAAGATTCAATCTCAAAAAGCGTTAATTATATCCTTTTAATTAAAGTCCCGTTTTATTTTTTTATTATTATTATTAATTGATTGTATTTTCCTTAATTAAAAAAATACCTATTGAATCATTCAAAGTAAAAAATATATGCGAATTTGAAGATATGGTTAAATCAAATACAAATTATTTGGGTTATTATGAACAACAACTAAAAGCCACAAAAGAAAATTTAGAATGTCTTGCAAAGGTAAAAATCATATAAAAAATTATTTATTTGAATCTAGATTATTTAAATTCGAAATATTAATTTTTTCAAAAAAAAAAAAAAATGCTTTAAGGAAAGCAACCCCAGATTAGTGTCCAATGTAAGTTCGATCAAAGAAAATGTTTCATCGCAACTGGATGCATATAAAAATGCAATCAGTTCAACTATGGTGTCCTTGGATGCGTTATCAGCAAATGGTAAATTATAAATTTTATAAAATTTATCCATTTCACAATTTACATGAACATCGATTAATCTACGCTTTGCGATTTGTAGCAAACGAAGAGACAACCAAATTACATCGACAACACATCCAGTCGTTCGAAGAACTTACCACGAATGTCACACATAGCTATTCTAATATCCAAAATAAAATGTTTAATTCTCGACAAGAATTGGAAAATAATGCGAATAATGTCTTGGAATTGGTAAAAAAAAAGAAAATTTATTCATTTAAATCAAATGATGATAAAATAAATTAATTTTATTTACGTTGTTTATTTATGTTGTTGATTTATGCAGAGAAAGAATAATGAGAATACCACGAAGAATTTGTTTAATGATGTCAGTAACCGGCTTAAGAGATCTCGTGAAGAAATTAATACTTTTGAATCAGATAAACTTCAAGTAAGTATCCAACCCTTATCAAGTTATTATCTACCTGAGTCTCCACTTTATTCATAAATGATAACCATGAAAATTAACATTGTAAATATAAAGTCATATAAAAAGAATAAAAATTGGCTAAGATAAAATCCCGACTCGCCGTCACCTGGATTTTGTTTGATTTATTTCTGTTTTTGATGCAAAATCATGAATATAATTTTTATTATTATTAATGCTACTCTGATAAAAAGAAGAAGAAAAAAAATAAATAGAATACATTATATTATATATTTAATCTAAATAAATAACAATGTGAACAAATACAAATTTATTTTGAAAGATTATTTTTATAAAAGCATTTTGATCGGATTTTCCATGTAAACTTTCCATGCAGATAACCATTGTGCTCCCAAAGCTCCATCAACAGTTCTATGATCACACGAAAGAGTTACTTGCATAGTGTTTACAATTCGATATCCCGTCTCCTGACTTGAATCTGGTATGAATGTTTGTCCAGCAGAACCCACAGCGAGAATACATGATTGTGGAGGATTAATGATAGCTGTAAAAGATTTGATACCGTACATCCCAAGATTAGAGATTGAAAAGGTTCCTCCCTGTTAATTTACAATTTTAATAAATTTAGATAATAAAGTTTTCGAATAAAATTTATAAAATTTACAATTCATAAATTTAAATAAAAGTTTCAGAATTCTATCAATATTTTCAACGCAAAAATTTCAATATGGAAGCATTAAATGAAAACGTAATACTCATTTCTAACCTGATACTCATGAGGTGACAATTTGTTTTCTTTTGCACGACCTGCCAATTCTCTAACTTCATTTGAGATAGTTGCTAGCCCTTTGGTTTGTGCATTCTTTATAATGGGTGTGATTAAACCATTGGGAGTCGCTACGGCAACCGAAATATCAGCATTACGATATCTAAAAGAAATCAAAGTTAACTCATGAAAATAAATTATAGGTAATTATTTATATTATTATTTACATACTGTCTAATAAAAGTATCATGCCAAGACGAGTTCACTTGAGGCATATCCATTAATGCTAAAGCAGATGATTTGATAATGAAATCATTAACAGAAAGTTTGTACTTTCCATTACTGTCATTATTTAGTTCTTCACGAAGTTTCAAAGCTTTGTTCATATCAACTTCAATAGTCAAGAAATAATGAGGAATTGTTTGACTGGATTCACTTAATCGTTCAGCAATGATCTTGCGCATATTGGATAGAGGAATATCTGTATACTCTGAAATAGGTTCTGAAGCTGGAACTTCTTTTGCTTTTGTTACTGGAGGAACCCAATTTAGAATATCTGCCTTTACTATGCGATCCTTGGGACCTGTACCGGTGACCTGATCAAGAGAGATTCCACGTTCAGATGCTAATTTACGTGCCACTGGACTAACAAGGATTCTATCATAAGTTTTTGTAGGTTCTTTTGTGGGTTCTTCTGGGAGTTGAGTGGATGATTTTGGTGGTTCGGTTTTTTTTGGAATTTCTTCCACATGTTCAATTTTTTCTACTTTAGAGGTTGCTTTTTGATCAGGAACAAAATCAGAAAATTTTTCAATATCTTCTTTATTTTCCGTCAAAATAGCTAGGGGCTGAAATAATTTTAGAATTAAATTTCAATATCAGTATATATATAATATATATTAATAAATGTTATGTTTAATTGAGAGATACGTACACTACCAACATTAACATCTTTTGCACCAGATTCTATAAGAATCTTAGCTAGGTAACCTTCTTCTTGACATTCAAAGTCCATTGAGGCTTTGTCAGTTTCTATTTCAACTAACACATCTCCAGGTGTGACAGCATCCCCAACTTTCTTTTGCCATTTACCAACGGCTCCCATAGTCATTGTGGGGGATAAAGCAGGCATAGTTATTAAAGTATGACTAGGATATGCTAGAAATGTTTAAATATACATACAAATGAATTTTACTTAACATTCTATTCGTTATTTTTTACTACTGTTCACTATTTTTCAATACTTTTTACTATATTTTACTACATTTCACTATTTGAAATCAGTCTATGAATTAAATAAATTTTTTCATGAAACGGATCCTTACATTCGGATCCATAGTATCGCCGTGAAAAAGATCCGTTATTGTGCAAGGTAGGAGAATGAAAGGCAAAAACCTTTCGAATGCTAAATTCGAATTTCGAAATTTGATTTATTATATTTAAAGTCAGCTTATAAGGGTTTGGCGTGTGAAGTTAAAAAGTCATTTTTGTCCAAATTCGCGAAACTAAACACGCCTACCATTTCGTAGTCAAAGACTGGGTTCCAAGTTTCGGAAATCGCGTAAATACTGGTGCATATGCCGGTATAATCTTAACAGGAACACCTGAGCCGCCAAATTTACATAGTTTTGTTAAAAATCGTTGCCTCCTTAAAGCATACATCTCTTTTGAAGAAATTGACGAAAAGTTCAAAATTTTTTTAAAGTTATTCTGACGATCTTCGGTTGATGATCGAGTAACATGTGAAAACCAGTCGAAATTTTTAAATTTAAGAATGGGTTGAATATAATTGGCTATCACAGTGCTTTTCCCACGAGTCCACGCTCAGAAATCTCGATGCTAATGATTCTACCATCACCCAACCGTAAATCAGAAAAAAAGATCTTGAAAGACAAAAGCACCATCTCCTCATTTCAGACATCATTTTCAAGAGACCTAGATTGCGTTCCATACTGGAATGAACAACTTGCAGACTGGTCAAAGAGGTTGTTGTTCACAGAGATAGAGATAGACTATGCCAGTTCACCTTTGACCTGTTTTCTAAGGTTGTAGTTCTCTCAGAAGATAATTCAACAGATGAATGGGAACTATCTCAGGATATTAGCAGACTTATAGAGAAAAAACAAAAAAGATTACAATACAAATGAAACTCATTGATCAATTTCAACAAGCATATATAAAATGTAAGCTTTTGCAAAAAATGAATTATAACCATAGATAGTTGTCTTAATTCAAAAAAGGAAATTTTAACAATAGAGTCTATTGTTAAATTTTATGTATTATAATAATAAAATAATGTATTTTTAATAACTATAAAAATTATAAGAACAAAGTTATTTAATAAAAACTAAATATAAGTTTGAAACTCTTAGAAAATTACACTGGTCAAATGAACAAATTTTTTGATACAAATAGGTAGGGAGATATGCAAATATGTAAGATTTGTGGATAATAAGCTGATTTGTAAATGATATTATCACACCAACTTGTGAACAAGAGTCTAAAGGATAACAAATATTCTCAAACAAATATTTTAAACTACTTAAATAATTTATTACAATTTCACAAGAATTACTAAGATCTACTTGACTTAAACTATTTATTAAAGACTTTTAAGAAAATATTACAGGTTGAGTTCTTTATTGTGAAGGAGTTTTAACATATCAAATTAGCTTGTCTGCTTGATAAGATATATTACTGATCAAAAATTTATAATATCGCATCTATTAAGTACTTGATAAAGTAATATATATGTTTATACACTTATCAGGTATTCGATAGATACATATATCAGGTACCTGATAGGTATAAAAATTATTTTACTACACTTATCAGATACCAATATACCTATCGAATATTTAATAAGTGTATGAACATGTATATTACTCTTGTACCTATTAGATACTTGATAGGTATAGTATTTATAAATTTTTAACTAGTATATAGCTAAAGGTTAATTATATAAGATTTATTCATCAGAATTTATAAAAGTTTATATGATGAATTAATAATATAGAGAATTAATAAGAATATTTAATAAGTTATAACTTTATTAATAAATATAATGATAGATATAAAAATAAAATACAAAATAAAAAGTGGAAATTAAAAATTAAAGATATAAAATAAAAACTATCAAAGGGAACTTCAGATCTATTCAAATTTCTTATTTGAATCTCTACTCTTGTTTCTCTTTCAAAAAAGATTCATATTTATATCTCTTTAATTTACTATATTACAAGATTTACAAATTTGCAAATCTACTAATTTTAGTAATAGATAGATAATATATCTGTTATGTGTAACAGATACCTGGTATACTATCTATTATACAATCAACAATTTACTTATATTTTTTTTTTGTTTCAACAAGGTCTTGCCTCAAATTTATTAATTAGAAAAAGAAAAAGTTTTTTACATTACATAGGATTACATAATACAAAATATATAACTTATTCTAATGTTTATTTGAAAAGATGAGACTCAAACTAACTCATAAGAGATGGGTCCACAACTTATTACCTAATTAACAATTTATTTATATCTTATATAAATAATAAATAAGTTAATAAAATAATAAATACAAATTATCAGGAAATTTTAATAGATAAAAAATTATGCAAATTTTACTTTATAAATTTTTGACATTTTCGAAGGTTTGCACAAAAAAATTTTATAAAATTTTACAATATTTTTACAATATTTCACAAAAATTTTTGAAAATTTCCATAATGTTTTTGTCAAATTTATAAAATTTGTATTTATATATAAATAATTTTTTACATTTTATAATTTATTAATAATTATTATTTTATTGTAGCAATTTAAATATTACTATTATTTTATTTATATTAATTTTAATATTTACAAAAATTTTTGAAATATATAAATATTTAAAAATTAATTTTTTATTATTTCTCCTTACTTTTATTAATATTTAATATTTTATTATAATATTTGTCACCTTCGTTAACTTTACCTCCTTTGTCAATTTTATCATCATTATCATTATTTTTTTTATCTTTTTTATTTTTTCTTATAGATTTTATTTTTTTATTTTTTATTTGTGAGATTTTGATTTCAGTAATTCTTTTATTTCTTTTGGGAATTACTAGTCTTTTGAAAATTACTGATTTTTTGAAAACTACTAACCTTTTTGAAACTTCTTCTAGTCTTTCAGAAGAGTCAGATTTTGTATTCAAAAATTTCATTATTTTTAATTTTATTCTATTTTTTTAAAGTTTTATTAGTTTTTAAAAATTTAAAAAACTGGTATAATATAGAATTTACTTATTAGGTTTTTTAAAAAAACTGGTTTTATTATTTTCTCAAATATTTTGATATTTTTATTATTTAGATTAAGGACAATTTCTGCAATAGAAATTATTCAGGTAATTTGTAAATTTGAAATTTTTTTTTCTTAAGTTAGACATCAGGAAATTTAATTAGGCATCGATTTACGGAATATCACATGACCTCCGGAAATTTCCGCCTGAAAAATTTGATTTTTTAACTTTGGCCAAGATTTA